CCTTCTCACCATATCTTATTTAGACCCAAATTTCTCCAGCCTGCATGGTTAACCATCTGCTATGTTCATGGTGCCACTCTTCTGCTCTAGAAGTTGCCATGCTTCCCTCTGAACTATCCCAAGGCCCAAAGTCCTCTGCCTGCCCTTCAGAGCTTGGAAATTGGCTCCTCATCTTAGGTTTCCTTTTCTTTTGTTCTTTCTTTCTTTTATTTTTAAACTTGCTACAATGGAGCAGGTGGTCTAGATAGGCTTGTCACTGCATTTTGCTGAAAAGATTATTGCAACCTCAATACCTGCCTGGTATTTAGAAAAATCCCATACACAATGTTTATAAAATTTTCTCTGACTTATTTCGGTCTTCTCTTTTCCTTCTTTAAGTTATTATTCCCTTAATTATCAGCATTTTACCATCCATAATATGTTCACTGTCATTCCTTAATTTCTTTTAGCTATTTCATTTTCTTAAACAGACTAAGTTCCTAGGGACCACAGATAATGCCTTATATTTCTCTGTGTCTTCAAAAATGTGTGATGTATAGCTGACATATAAATAAGTGTTAATTAATATTTCAGTTACTGAGTTTAATTCATAGCACATTATTGTGACTTAATCTCCTATAGTTATATGTTTTTTATAACTATGTCTCATTTACTAATGTTTAATACAACATGGGCCTACATGGTTTCATAAATATTAATCAACAGAATCACAGAAGTCCATATTTGTAAGTACTTCCCATCTTTCCAAATAGAATTTGCTTGGTTTCCTGTTTTTGTTTTTTCCATAGAAGGAAGCTAATGATCAGAGATTTTAAATGATCTTGTCAACTGAAAAGTTACACAGCAAGCTTATGGACTCACAAAAAATGAAACAAAACAAAAACAAAACCCAACTACCAATGTAAAATAAAATGAAAAAACTATTTTCCAGTGCCAACAGAGACAATGTAATACTACCATTTACTTTTTATTATAAGAGAAAAAAAAACACTTCTATCCCTAGTGTTAAAAGTACTCTAACAGAAATGAACTCATTTAATTTCACTGATTCCCTAGGAAAAAAATTGGAGAACCTATTAACTCTATCTATAAATAAAATATTGTCCAGAGAATTGATGTAAAAGGACTCAAGACATTTCACCAAAATTGGCGGTTAAAACTCTAATCCCTTCATGATGAAGCCCCATCTGTCCACTTGGACAATGTATCAGGTTTATACATACGGCCTGATAGAAAAATAATTTTCAGATTTAAAAAAATCACATTTCTATTGAAACTGTTCAGAAGGACAGATAAAAGAAGGAAAACAGAGGAAAATCTGGACCATTTCATGTTCAATGATCTTGTTTCTTTGAACTACATGACTACATACAGCATCAGAGGGTAAAAATTGGAATGAATCTTTCCTTCTCCTTGTATAATCTGGAATACTAACTATTTTTTTCCCCTTGGGATAAAATTTAAATTTCTGTGCAGTGAAAAGAAATATAAAAGATGAGAACCACACTGGAATCCCCACACAGTGCCCAGGGGAATGTCCAAGGAACCAGCAAAGCTCCCCTCAGAGAGGTGTTTAACTATTATATGGTTAATCCATTTGGAACACCTTGTTCTAAACGGAGGGACAAAAGACATTTGCTATAAAATCTTCTTCAACTCCCAAGAAGACAACAGGGGATTAGGTGACCAGAGAGACTACTTGGAAACTTGCATGCTTGCGGTGTTTCTGAGTCATCTCTTAAGTCAGAAATAAAGCTGACTTTGAATGATGTATCTCATGCTTCAGCAATGTTTTGCTCTACACAGCTGGGCCATATGGAAACTATGAACTGGCTTCATAGACAGAACCATGATGAGCCAATGCAACATTTTTATGTTTTCTGTTTCTGTTCAAGTGGCCTCGTGAACAATATATTATCTCAAGACATGGTATGTTATGTGACTTTGTTTAGATTCTGAGTAGTGATTACTTTTTAATGTTATAGATGCTTTTAATATAGGGACTTCTTAAAAATAAAAACACTTTCATTTAACAACAACAACAACAAAAGCCTGGACTATTTTGTATAGAAATATGCTCTAATTCTTCTTCAAGGTACTGGTGTACTTTAACACACTAGTAAAGTCACGGTCCTTGGAGGAGTATGTGTGTGGGGCGGGGGAGGGGGAATCTATCAAAATTATAGATGCCAAAGATTTTCTTTCCAAATAAACACTGTAGTAATTTATAACACCTTCCTGAAATATTTTAAGTACAAAGCAACATTTTAAGAACGAGAAAAAGAGAGAAAGGAAGCGAGAAATTTTCTGAAAACTTGAAAGCAAGCATGATCCACTGGGCAATTAGTTTGGTGATGCAAAGCATTCATTCATGCTTTGCTGCTTTAATAATTATTAGACAACAAACAAACGGTTCACTCTAAGATTAAAAAAATTCAGCAAGTACTTTTTTTCTGGATTGGGCTTAAAATTTAATGAGAAACTGTGTGGGTGAAGAAAAATTACAGTGTTGGCACAATACCAAGATGGAATAAATGAACAGCACTTATGTGATTGCATGTTTTGTATAGGATGTGGGAGGGCTATAGAATAGCTGAAATTAATATGTGGAAAATAACTGCAGTGGTTCCTTGGAGGTATTTAGAAACTATCATATGTACTCACTCAGCTTGTAAATCTTTACAAAGGCTACGATGAAAAATGATCATATTTCATTATTATAATTAAAAATACAGTGGTCTCAGATGTGTTTCTCAAGGAGTAAAATATGAGACATAGATAATATGAGTACAGTTGTTTAAAAGGGGGAAGACTTAAGGAATTATGTTTTAAATATTTTTTTAAAGAGATATATTAAAATAATTATACTGTATTACCAAAATTAGGAAAGAAAACAAGGTTTGACCATGTAATAAATTAACTTCATACTTTACATATTATAATTTCCAGTTTCTGGTATTTTCTATTTTGATTTGAGAAAATCTTACAGGAAACTATAAAATTCGTTCAGGCCAATTCGCTATGATACAGATGGTCTGGTCATATTTGCACTGTATTCATGGTGAGTCAGTACAAAAAAAATATGGAAACTGGAAAATTTCTATGCTGACATAGGCATAGAGAATTGAATAATGTTAATGTTCAAAAAGTGTCAAAATTAATTTTTAAACAATAATCATACATAAATTTGTGAGGTAACTTAGATGGAAAGGGAATCTTTTTCTCCTACATACTCTTCCATTTTTATCATGTTTTACAGATTTAATAAGACTTTACCTACAATTTTACTTTGGCTTATGACTATTATCTGTCTCTATGAGAGAGACATCTAGTAATTGAGATTAGAATCTTACACTTCTAGCACTCTTGTATTCATCCTAACATGTTCTATTTGCTTTTGTAAATTGTCTGTCTTCATTGATAAAATCAGCTGTACAATCACCAGTATGTGTCCTCTCTTGGTACTGCTTCTACTCTTAAAAAAAAAAAAAAAAAAAAACAACTCCTCTGGGGGCAAAAAAAATAACAGTTCCGGAAGATTCTTGTCCACAGCCACCAGTTCCCCTGGGACACATTAGAGAGGTGCCTATTTTGACAGCTCAGGGGACAGTAAAACATTTCTTACAAAACAGCATTTTTGTTTGGTATTAAATTTTGAAACAAATGACTTTTCTGATGCACTTTATTATTAACAAATATAATTAAGCTTTCTTCAAATGAATACAATGTTTGCATTGTTATAGTATAACAGGCCTTATTACTTATTTCCTATGCTTTTTTCCTTTATGCCAGCTGTTCTTTTTATTAGCTCAACTGCCTTCCTAAAAGATTTGCTCTTCCTTGTCAACCTTTAAGTCACCTGCTAAAATTCTAGAGCAAGAGACTGCTTTTATTTTTCCTTCTTTAGGATAAACATCATTACTCTTAGAACAATGTACACACTGCATGTTTGAATTATGAACTGGCCTATAAAATGTGTTAGATGTTCTACACTACATTTTTAAAGGAACTGCTTTTAAAACACTTTGCTTTGGGGACATAGCTATTGGTAAACAGCAAAATAAATATATTTTTCATCATATCAATAAAATGAGAAGCACATTTTACCAATATCAACTTATAAGTCCACATACTACATATAAAATACATATGAAGAGTAGACCTGAAATGCATGACCCAATAAACATAGGTATTTTAATAGGCCTTATTAATTTTTACTGTAAGGTTTAATCGTTTAATGCACTGACAATACCTTTGTTTTATGCTTCCTGATAAGAGAGAATAAATTTGATCCTTCTTAATGGTGCAACAATTATTCCATGTCATTGGAAAAAAGGGACAATCTAGACATATCCATTGATGATAGTAGTGCGTGAAAGAACACTGCCTGCTACACATAGTGGTGCCACACACACTGAGCACATTTCTGAACACATGCAATGATTTTTTTCCTCACTATTAATACAGACCTAATGTTCATCTTTTTATGGTTGTGGAATAAGATATTCCCAAGTTTGACAGATATGTTAATAAAGAACCTTCTGTACTTCTGCTTCCTTTAGTTGTCCTACTCATTTTGCAGATGATCACTGGAGTAAGAGAGGAATATTATCTTACAGCTCCATTCATACATTGGATGGAGAAGTAGGTATCAAAGTTATAGCCCCCAGTGATATTTGCACATCTCGTTGTAACAATGAGGAAAACCACAAAACCACGGGAAAAGCAACGTGACAGTTATGAAGGCCAAAAAAAAAACCAAAACCAAACACAAAAAATAAAATTCTGCACACATTGAAAAAAAGCAAAAACAATTCTGGATATAACAGAAGAAATAACAAATGGTGTGAATGTTTCAAAACACTCTACAAATAAAACAGCATTATTCAACAGGATGCAACGAAATTAGAAAAAGAAGCAACAATCCACATCATGAGACATGGAATCATCCAGAATAAGAAGCTATGGATATGAGCCACAGAGAGTGTTTCTTTTCTTACTTGCACAAGTATCTTGAGGGATTCGAAAGGTCTTTCACCATGAAGCACTCGCCTCCATTGACACAAAACGTTTTCTCCTTCTCTGCACACTTTACAAGATGGCTGGTCCCGGTGGTAGATGTAGACGTGGCTGGATAGGAGATAAAGAAAAGGTTCACATCTGTTTCTGGCCCCTTCTAAGCAGCCTTTCACCTTAAATTCTCTTCAAAGGAATAGTACATATAAGATACAGTGGACTTCACTGGTTTCAGATTTGACAAAAAAAACCAGAGAAAGTAGTAAAGTGCTTTCTGGGTATAATTATACAAAGCAAAACTACAAACGTGTAATTACAAAGTTAATTGGATTCTAATTAAGTAGGAAAAGAGGATCAACGATTTTTACATACAGTATTATACCTTCCAAGGTAGTTAGAAAAGAGAAACTCTTGTGTTGCCAAGTCAAATTCATTTTCCAGGAAGACTCAGAGGTAAGGTATCAAGTTATGACTATGAAGCTCAATCTTCTTAATGGCAATGAATTGGCAAAAGTGTTTATTTTGGAAACTATGCTTAATATATATACTGAATTTATGGGTGTTTTTGACAATGTATAGCAAAAAAATAAGGAGGAGGTTTGTGTGTTCCAAATAAAAAAAGTATTAACTTAATATTATACATTAACATACAACTCTGAAGACATTCTCTTCATGATTTCTATTCTGTTCTGAAAGTCTGTTTGATGTTTGATTGCCAATGCATTTTTGCAGAAATAGAAAGACAGTATAAATACATTTACAAATGAAAAATAAAGCACTACAAAAAGTATCTCGAATTAGGAATACAGAAATAAGCCTTTAATTTTTGTCTTTAACATCTTCATGTGATAACTGCACATTTTCTTCTTAAACTTCACAGTTACGTGGAAATGAAGTTGAAAAGGCTGCCTGCATCATTGAGGGGGCAGATTAAATGAAGCTGGAAGGGCATTTTAGTATCAGGACTTCTCACTGCTTATATTGCTGGGGACTGGACACTGCTCAGCCTCAACCAGAAAAAGTCTAATTTCCATAGTGCTAAAGACTGATATTATCAGATCAGAAGCAAAACCATCAACAAGCCACCAAAGATTCTATTTTTTTAAGAAAAAAAAAATTCACATTGAGACATTTTATTTTATCTCCTGGCTCATTCCTACACATTTTTAATTTCTCGCCTTCCTCACCAATTTCCGATTATATTTGCATGAGTTTCACATTCTCTTGTTTAGGTTTTACTTGACCTGTCATATACTGACTTTCCATTAACTTCTGCTTTTCTTTTTCATTTCCATCAGAAGTCCATATTTTATTGTGACATTTAATCTAATTTCTTGTGCCTTCTTGATTTTTATTCTACTGTTCAGGATACTCAACATCTGATTAAATATTTAGTTTCTTAGTTACTCATAGGCTATCCTGTCTCTTTGTTTCCTGTGCTAGGAGCAATAGCAAAAGACAGTCAAAATAACTTGTACTGTGCTTCAAAGCCCTTCTACAAGCTTTGTATCCCGAGCCTGCACAGTTTCCCCATGTAGAACACAGGGGCAATGACAATCTCAGAGAATTTTTGTACAGATTATAAGTAATCGAGGTAAAGGAATTGGCACAAAACTAGTATTCAGTGAATAATAGCCAGTATAAATGGGTAAGCAGAGATGAATTTTTATTTTGGCACTCACTCAACAATAAAAAAAAAAAGCTTGACAATGGATATCTGGTGTTTCAAAGATGCATGATATTCTGCTATTCTTGAAACATTACTACAAAAATAAAGAATTGAGACAATTTTATTTATTTATGCATTTATATGTGTATATGTATGCATCGATTTATTTTATTATTTATTTATTGTTTGTGTAGAGCTAGGGTTTGAACCCACAACCTTATGCATGCTGGGCAACCACTCTATCACTGAGCTACACACATTCCAAGCCCAGATCAATTTTTTAGTTACTCCAACAAAAAGAATGTTTCTTATCCTTTTCAATATGAGTTTGTAAATGTCCTTGTTATGTCTACCAGCCAAACAAGGTATGAAGGACTGTGAGGAGAGAGGTGATTTTATCATCTGTTATCAGCTCTACTTTAACATCTGTATCAGAATGAGGGGAATGTAATCTGCATCTTTTAATCTGTGAAATCATAGGACAGACAGCATTACGATGTATCACACAGCACTTAATTTTAACATCATATATCTTCATGTGAAAAACTGTTTATGTAGGTGCTATATATCAATATTTTCATCCATGGCAACTGCTTTTAAAAGATATTAGGGAGCAGGTTGCCTTAACTGGGTCAGGTTTTGTATTTAAGACTTTTAACTGCTGACAGCATTCCTTGCAAAGACAAATTGGGCTGGGTCTCTTTTCTGCCCTAGGCAACAGCACTGAAGGGACCACCTGCAGTGTGCTGTCACCATGTTCTCCTGCAGAGGGATGCTGAACCTTAAGGAAACCCTAGTGGCATTTGAATCCCTGACAGGTTGCTAAGGAATTTCCTTTACCCAACTGAGCAACAGACACTAAACAGGCTCCTTCTCAAAAAACATCCCAAGATTTTTACTAAAAACAAAGGGAAACGTCCCACCCCAGAATGCAGACACTACATGTTAAATTTTAAACTAACAATAAAAATTAGCCAGGAAATACACAAGAGACAGATATAACATCCTTATTCCTTACACTTGCTGATCTTGCGGTATTATCAAAATAAGACTAATACATATATGTTAAAATTAGAAATAATTATTTTTTTGTTCTTTAAAAAATGATTCTCCCTGAAACGATTATGCTTTTATGAAGCGATCCTGAAGCATCTAGCTCTGACATATTGTGTTGAAAAAATTTAAGATCATCACTTTAAAGTACTAATGGGAACATTTGATAGTAAAAATGATTCTTTGAGGGAAATGAAGTAGCAACTATCTCACACACCATGGACGATGGTGCTTAGCACTTTTATCCCTTAGCAGCCTTGAGATTTAAAAAAGAACAAAGTCACGAATTGCAAAGCAGCAATTGACTCCCAGGTGATGCAAAGTGTGAATGGAGTGGATACAGCTGCTGTGAGCCAACAGCCAAACAGAAGAAAAAGCTGTGATTGTCAGAAGAACCCAGGATAGAGATGGTGCTGTACACACACATTTCAGATTTTTGCCAGGTTTCTTTCTCCTCTCCTTAGTTGAACACAGTGTGTTGTTGTGCTGTTAGTCCTAACAAGTCTATACATTTTCCAGTGGTGTCCTTTCTCTTTGGCTTATATACACTATATTACTAAGTCAGTTCCCATTTGACAATTCTGCCCCCACACAATGAAATAAACAAAGCAAACTATGCAAACACCATTTTTTTTTTTCCTGGTGGAGCTATGAGGAGATTTTTAGAGATAAAGCTAAATATTTTGCAGATAGAATTCATTTCAGTGTATAAAAGATGACCCCCAGTAGTTGTTTGGAGAAGGCAATGAAATAGATGTTGCTTATTCATTGCTTAATAAACCCAGTATCCCTCTGCTTTTATGAGTAGTTTGACACAATTTAGGTGTTATCTTCTAATCAGTGCTAAATGAATGGCAATTAAGAATACTGCTAAACATGACTCCATCACTTTTATGTTTGCCATCTGTATTAAGTCTTTATCTCAAACACACTTTCCTTGGTAGGTTAGAGACTACAATACTGTAAGGAAGAAATAATATATATAAAGTGGTAATTTATTAGCAAAGAATGCCTTGACTCCAGTCCTGGTTTGTCTCCCTAGCACAGATAGGACAAGTGATCTTCCCCAAGGAGAGAGGACAGTCCTCTTAGCTGAGGATTTGGGGATTAAGAATGTAGGAACCATAGGATTCCCTCCTTTTCTTCCCTCCCTCTTCCTTCTTTCTAGACTCACTTTCTCCTCTCCTTCCTCCCTCTCTTCTTCCCCTCTTCCCTCCTTCCTCCCCCTCTCCTCCCTTCCACCCTTCTTTATAGACTGCCCATTATGGGCAAGAAATAATGGTGACAAGTAAAGTTACTAGAGTTAAAAATTCTGAAACAATGACCCTAAAAGAGAACCTTTGTAGATAAGATGTAATTAAATGAACACTGAGGCTACTTATCTTAAGAATCAAGTAGAAGTGACAATACTAGCTTTGTGATTCCTGCTTGGTGACCTGCCTCAGTAACTTCAGCAGCACAAGTGAGACACGCACAGTGTTGCTGTGAGGTTGGTTAAATTACATTGCTTGCAACACTGCGTGTGCGCAGATACATGCTACAATTACTATAATTAATGACATCAATATTGCACAGTGAAAGGGAAAATTCAGTCCAGATTCTGGAATCTTACAAAATCAAGTCTCACGTGTTGTTTCTTAGTTAATAATTCTGCAAAATGTGAAGCAAGAAGGCCTATTTTGGAAGGAGAATCACTGAATAATAGTAAAACACTAAGAAATATCAGTAACCTACTCTAAATTAACTTTATTGTAACTGCCTCTCAGCCACTTATAACCACTAAATTCATTTATAAAACTGAGAAACAATTTAATAGAGGAAACTAACATCTTAGTTACATGATTATTTTGTACTGTCAAAAGCTACATGATTCTATAATATTTATGACTGAATTTCCAAGTTACATGAATTAAGCATACCTACAATAATGTATGGCATTATAACGGTTGAAAAACTACAACATATTTTAAAGTAGCATAATGTCCACAGTATATGGAACATGATATAAACTTTGTTTATAACATTACAGAAATCAGATTTTCACACACTTTTGTAGCTACCCATAATAAAAACTTAATAATAAAGTATTCTCTGCCTATTGCTAATTATTTCCCCTGTTAAACCACAGAGTATTTCCTGCAGAGTGACACGTTGTTTTCCTCTCAAGACAGGCTAAAAAAAAAAAAAAAATCAAGTAATGTTGAAAAAGGATGACTTACTTCCTTGCTTGTTTTAAATGGTGATTTCTTTATCAGTGAAGTAGACTACACCAATAGACCAAGACCTTTACACAAATAAAAATTGCTGATAAGAAGTCACTCTTTTCTTCTTTGACAATTAGCAGGAATTAGCATGAAAAAAACAAGGTATACCCAAAGAGCCATCCTGAGAT